TCACAGGATGGTCCAAAAGTTGGCTCTTGGCCCAAAGCTCCGTTCCACATGTGTGTCAATGCTGAGGGGGGTGGATTTTTTTGGTCCACTCTAGTTTACTTGCTGTGAATTTTTTAAGTCTCTCGTTCAAATGAATGGAGCTGCGCCGGCTAACGCATGCGCAGATGTGTTTTTTCACAATTTTCTTGTGGGCGGGACCACTCGCGGCCATTTTGGATTGCTCCAGTAGAGCACATTTTTTGGCCCATTAGTTAGAACGGCGGAGATAGGCGTGACTCTGTCCGTTAATATATACAGTCTATGGGCAAACAGTGTAAAAATGTAAATACAATGTAACACTTGAATAGAAAATGTATCACAAAAAAAGAATCAAAACATTTTGGGTAAACGTGAGGAGAAACAAAGAGGAAAAGGTCTGAGACACTCTGACTTGAAATACAATAAAAACAAATATTATGGGGGTACATTGCGATGCGTTTCAACCACTTTTGGGTCTTCATCACGGTCGTTTTTGTTATTTTTGTACAGCTCTAAATGACAACAGCAGTCGTCTCGAAGGACTTTTCAAAATTGTCAGTTCACCAACAACATTTCAGAGAATCAAACAGTTTGAACACAGGAAATACAATAATAACTAACACATAGAGCCATTGGTTCATAGAAAGCAGGATGACCACTGTCCATAAATGTTAATAATAAATGTCCAAGCGTCCAAATTACAGCTGCCTTTATCTTCAATTACATCGTGTCATATTAGAAATCTATTTAAGAAGCAGCTTGTCATCTCCCACTTCTCTCTGCGGCTTGGAATCAGCTTTATAGACTGAAAGTTTGTTTGCAGAGACTTTTGTCATCCCTATGGAAACTTAATACGACAAATCAATGTAGAGGCGTCCAGATAACATCATCCATCAATGTCACGTTTGGTTTCCTACTCAGAATTTATAATATCGCTGAAAAACTTGGACTGGAGTTAGAAATGTACACTTTAAATGTGGTTTAAAGTAGTGGCTGGCATCACATCTTTAGGTTATCTATAGCTGTTTTTGTTTCTTTATAGTTTAAGACAAAATATTTACAAATTATAGCAGAAAGCCATAATGTGCGTTTTTCCAGCTCAGAGAACTCAGCCTTCTGATAAATCCAACCTTCAAGAAAACACGTTGAAAAGGTCAGGTCTAGACAGTTACTTATTCATTCAATGATATCCTCAGTTCTCTCTCTCTAAAAATAAGGACATTTCTTTGTGACCTCAAATGTATAAACCAAAGTTTTACCAATTTCACTTTTACTTTGTTGATAAAATGTATGAAAAATTGGTTTTGATCATTAAGTTGTTTGGCTTAGGGCTGCAACTAATGATTATTTTTATAATTGCTTTGTACAAGGATATGTATAAATAAAAGGTTTAACTGAAGCCACTGGAAGACATATTTTCAGACAAAACTGTTTTTTCATAAGAAACAACATCCATGCATTTGTCGTTTTAATTTTTGTTATTTCCTTAAGTCTCAAAAAAAAATCACATCTCACAGCCCTATTGTTAGTCCATCCATCCATTTTCTTCCCCTGATCCTGCAGGAGGGTCCACAGGAGGATGCAGTGATCCTCCTGCAGCTGAGATATTTCAGCAGGGGCTTCAGACAAAGTGGGGTTAAGTGTCTTGCCCAAGGACACAATGACAGCAGTCATCAGTGGGAGTCCATTTACCATTTATTATGGTAAATGCGCCATCTGTATTCACACACTTAAATTGATCATCTGTATAATATTCACAATCACTAACTATATTATAGAGATGACTATCTGGATCTATGTCACTACCAAATTCATTCGTTCTATAGCTATTGGTGTTCTCCTGCATACAGAACTGGATACTATTTAGCGTTTTATGCAGTTCACAATTCACACCGGCCATTTCATGGTTTTCTTGATTTAATAATGTACTACTTGATTCACTTTCATTTGTCATCATGGTTTAAGTCGAATTTTTGTCCCTTTTTCTTCCCCTTTCCCTCTCTCTTGCGCACGCACACACGCACACACCCCCACACACACACACAAATAGTAATGACAATATCAGCAATAATAATACAAAACAAAAAACTTAAATATAGTATTCTTATTATACTTGTTATTGTCCTCAGTGCTAGGCATCTATATGCCATAATTGTCCATGAAGAAGGAGAAAAAAATATATATATATATCGTCTCTGCTTGCACAGCAAGAAAAAAATAATTTCAGCATGTCAAAAAAGACTCCTTGGCTCCTCAAAAAATAAAAGAAAACAAAAACATTCCTAGCTGAGAAATACATTATTTGATTATTTGAACTTCTCAAGGTCTCCAAGTTCTCTTACCAGTATAACTTTTGCAGTCTCTGGTGAAGATCCATTCAGTTGAATGAATACTTTGCAGTTTCTGGTCCACGTTGCTCTTATCTTGTTGTTTTTCTTCAGAAACCGTGCTTCACGTGCAATATCAGGCGTCTTCTTGGTCAGGTGCTCATTTAGGTATACATTGGATTCTTTCAACTTTCTTCCTTGTCTCAGTAGCTCGGTTTTGTGTTTCCTGTTAACAAAGCGCATAATGATGGCAGGCTTTGTTTTATCCCTGCGTGGCAGTGTATGACATGCAGAAATGTTGTTCGCATCCAAATGTATATCTTTGTCTCTTAGGAATTGCACAACTTGGTCCTCCAAAGTTTGCATATCTTCTCTTTCTGCGTTCTCGTCAACATTCCTCCCTGTCGCAGTTGCCCTCGCATACGAGCGCGGTTTGATGTCCAGGCCCGAGATGATTACGTCTTCCATCCTAGTGCACTGTTCTGGGTAACGCTAGCCAGGTCCCCAGACATGAAGTTTAGCGACTTACGAATCTCATCCATGTCGTTCTCCGTCGGTGGATTCTTCTTTGGAGGCATCGCCAATAGAATAGTTTATGCCTCTTTTATTTGCCTTGTAGAAAACGCACAATTGTCAAGAAAAGTTTGTTTGTATTTCACATCAACTTGTGGGCGCCGCCATCTTGTCACATGACTCTTGATCTACCTCTATCTATCTCTCTACCACTCTATGCATTTATCTATCTCTCTACCACTCTATGCATTTATCTATCTCTCTACCACTCTATGCATTTATCTATCTCTCTACCACTCTCTATGTCTATCTCTCTACCACTCTCTATGTCTATCTCTCTACCACTCTCTATGTCTATCTCTCTACCACTCTCTATGTCTCTATCTCTCTACCACTCTCTATGTCTATCTCTCTACCACTCTCTGTCTCTATCTATCTCTCTACCACTCTCTATGTCTATCTCTCTACCACTCTCTATGTCTCTATCTATCTATCTCTCTACCACGCTATGTCTATCTTTCTACCACTCTCTATCTCTCTAACTACCTACCACTCTGTCTTTATATCTACTGTATATCTATCTCTCTACCACTCTCTATCTCTGAGTTTGTAAATAGAGCAGATAACAATTATTGTTGCACTCAATGTGGCATACAATGACTGCCTGAGGATTTGATTGAAAAAACGATGATGGGAAAGTGCAAGCACTTTGTTTGTGTCAGCTGGAATAAGGACATTTCAGGCCGCCATGCGATGTCTGATGTACAGTTTTATTTGTCGGCTCAATGAAAGCCAGAATTTTATTGTCATGAGCCTGACAAATGTCAAATTCAGTGCCACGCGGTACCAGTCAGATTTGTGGAGACACTGGTACAGCTGTTTGCTCTGAGAAGTGACGCTTATTGTTGTGATTATATGTGTTGTTTTGTGTTTTTACAGTATGTGATGTGTGTTTGTCTTATCCTGGACCTTGAGTCTTTAATAAAGTTTGATATGATATGATATCCCTAAACTACTCGATGATTGAACTAATTTGAGTAGTTGCAATTAGCTGTCACAATAACCACATTTGATGGACGATAATCTGCTTCAGAAAAACATTGGGGAATTCAGAAACAAAAGTTGTATTGTCACAATCTTTCTCAATCCTCTACAGCTAACATTTGATTGTAAAGCTGCACACAAGCCACAAAAGTTTTCCCCTGATTTTAAAACCTTGTGCTATCCTCGTGTCAAAATGACCCCACACCAGAGGATTAAAAGTAGAAGAAAAATACCCTAAATTACAGTCTAAAAGGTTCTAAATGACCCAGGGCTGGTCATGTTAGGAAGCTTTTTTACTCATTGTGGCAGGTCAATTCGACATGAGGATAGCTCAAGGTAAATACTGTATAAAGGAAACTTTCATGTATTACGAGCTGTGTTTTACTATTTGATGTTGTATATGATGTTGTTGCGCATTAGAAGCCATCTGGAAAAAAGCACACAACGTCGCACACAAAGGTGAAAGGTGAACTCAACTTCATAATAAGCGACCCCTGTATCACAAAAAATTGCCCAAAATACATCTGTGAATGCTGAGTTGCTATAATAATAATACATCAAACTAATATAGTGCTTTTTTGGACACTCAAAGATGATTTACAAAACAAATAAAAAATCAACATTGAAGAACAAAATGAAGGAAAGGCTGGAACAGGTGGGTTTTGAGAAGGGATTGAAAGAGTTCTGTAGTGAGTCTGAGTTTCTAGCCAGTAGTAATAGTAATAGTAATCTTTATTTATATACCGCCTTTTCACTGCAGATCTGAGTCTCAAAGCGGTTTACAATTGTTAATTATGGGCATTTGTCTCTCACTCCACACAGAGATGGGAGCGGGGTCGCCAGTACAGGAGGCGCATGCCAGACATGTCTATTGGACATATTTTTTTGTGGTAGGGGAAACCGGAGTACCCGGGGGAAACCTACGCAGACACGGGGAGAACATGCAAACTCCACTCAGAAAGGCCCTGGTCCGACCGGGATTCGAACCCAGGACCTTCTTGCTGAGAGGCGAGAGTGCTATCCACTCAGCCACCGTGCCGCCCGGTTAGCTATATTAGTTCTTGTGATTATTATAGGTCTGGTTTGGTTTCTGTGCAGTCCCCGTCGTGACGAAAACTTGGGAGAGAGACGCAGAGCTGCTGGAGTTTTACAGCGACGTCAGGGATGAGTCCATTCCCACCATCAGCCTTGGAGTCCCCAACACTGACAGAGGTGAGGGAAAACTGCTTTAAACCAGAGTCTGAGAGTTTTTAAGATAAGTCATGAAATACATCGTAACAAAAAGTGGTAAGTTTCCTGGTAAAGGCAAATCACGAAGAGCCAAGAAAGTCAAACAAATTCAAGGCACTCGTGGTCAATAGTTTAGAGAGTTAAAAAGCCCGTGTGACGCATATAGTGAGGGGCACCTGAAGAAGGCCAAGCTAGGCCGAAAGGCGTTGGTGTGTGCTTTAAATTAAAAACTTTCTAAACTATTGACCACTAGTGCCTTGGATATTTTTGACTTTCTTGGCTCTTCATATTTTGTCTTACCTGAAAAGTCAACACTCCACTTTTTGTTACTAAGTTAAGCCCCTCTTCCGATGGAGCACCTGGTCTTTTACATAATTTTACATGCTTGTACCACGCAGCACTCCTAACCCTCGTTTTATTTTAGAAATGAAATACATAATTTTACAACATTTTTTAAGTTTGTCACCATGTTACCACACCGCTCCCTCGTCAATAATACTTCAGGAACGTGGAAGGAGTGGACAAACCGAGCGCTGAAGTCACCTAGTAGTGTTTGAAAGAAGCTGCTTGGAGCTAACTCAAACAGGAAAAATAAACGGGAATCTGGAGCTAAAACTATGCGTAGCAACGACCTAGCAACCAAAGAGCCAATCTGTTTTTGCCTGTGGTGTTTGTTAGCCAAATTACCCCTCCCATAGTGTTTGCTTTAGAATGAAAGGAGCAGATTAGAGCTAACTCAAACAGGCTCCATGAGAGAGAATCTGGCGCCAAATGTACGGGTAGCAACGGCTTAGCAACCAAAGAGCCAATCAGTTCCTGCTTGCACTTTTTGTTAGCCAAATTCAAGGACAGAAGACACCAGGGTTTTACAGGGATTTTACAGTTTTAACAGTAAGGGGGAATTTACTTTACAAGGGAAATATTCATAGAGCTAGCGGGTTAGCATTGCCTGTACCTTTATACCGATAGCAATTTGAGTGGAGCCTTTAAAGTACCCCTGCTTCCTCTGACATCAGGTAAAAGACATATGACAGGACTAAATTCGGAAATGTACACACTTCCTCCTTTTTATATAGTATTTCAATAAGATTATATATGCAACAATGTATAATAATGAGCAACAAGCATCTCTATAACAGACAGCAGTATGGTCTCTCTTAGGTTGATTTTTACTGGCTTTTTATACAGACTTGTAACCTGCACTTACTTCTTCTTGTCCATTATTACCTAAACCAGAAGACTCCAATGAATGTATGCAACTTTTAGCATCAAGAGGCCCACTTTCACATCAGACTGGACCAGAGTGTGTAAAAAAAACATTATTCTTGGTCAGAAGAGCTCGGAGCAGAACAGTTTTTTTAACGAGAGCCCGGGTTTTGTCCTTTCACATCGTCTCCCACAGAGAGCTCTCAGGACACATTACTGTCCTTTTCTGCTTCTGCTTCTATCCACAGTAAGGTACTATATCCAGGTGGGTACTTGTCATTCACTGCATGTTAGAAGCATCATAGGGAGGACATTAATGTTGTTTTGGTCGTCTTTTAGTTTGTAGATTATTTTTTTCATTTTCATTTTTTTTTTTCATTTTCAACCCCTTTGTCCATTTCTGGGTCGGGGGGGTGGCAATGAGAGCTGCCACCCAATGCTCATAGCACCAGTCCCTCGCTGATCTTCTGCAGGGGGTGAGTCCACAGGAAGATGGCTGCTCCGTCAATTGTGAAACAGCCTTGATCTTTCAGCGGGGGGCTTCAGGCAACGTGGGGTTAAGTGTCTTGCCCAAGGACACAACGACAGCAGTCATCAGTGGGAGCAGTTGGAGTAGGTCCCATGGTGGGAATCGAACTCACAACCTCCAGGCCCAAAGGCCAATCCTCTACCAACTGAGCTACTGTCGCCCGCTACTTTGTAGATTATACTATTGATTTATTCACTCGTTTTTTACCTTTATTTCCACTTATTCCAGGCCTGAACTGTGAAAGCTGGAGTTTGGATTCTGTATTTCCATAGAGCGGGGGTTAGGTATGGATTGGCTGAGTGCTGACATCACCACAGTGTTAGCCTTAATGCGGAAGTAGCTGATTTGAACATAAGCTAGCTGGAGCCTATTTCCTTATATATGCGTGTTTGTTTTCCGATGGCGTTAGCTTTGCGTTGCTAAGGCAAGCTGGAGTTTCCCGAGCGAATGATGCCACACTTTGACCTATGTTTTAGTGCATTGTTACATACTTAAAAACCCGAAAACATCTATAATATTCTTAAAGTGTCAGATAGTTTTCAAATCATAAAGAGACACTTTTTGAAGACATGCTCACTCATGCAGCGTCCTTTTCTACAATCTTGTGTATTAAGATCCTGCTGTCATTTGTACACACTGTCCCAAATAAACAAATAAATAAAAAATTTACTGAAATTGTGGAAGCCCCCTCATCAACTATTTTCCTTAATAAAATCTTATTAATTAATCTTATGCCAAGGGGAAGGACTATTTTAAATGTTTAATTTAGATTTTTTCAGGCTTACACTTTTACAAATGTCTTTTAAACATGTTTGCATTGTTTGAAAAGGGAGTGAGAAGAAGTAAACTTTAGGGCTAGGTCTATTTTATTCATTCTGTATATAGTGTTGCACTGTAGGGAAAAGTTCAACCAGGGACAGGAGTTGAAAATTAGCATTAGCAAAACACTCTGTATGTGTTTCAGCTGCATCTTTCCTAATGTAACTATGTATGTCCCTGTCAAATAAATAATTATAATGAAACAATTACAAAACACGTATGTACTCCGTCCCACCCCCTCTCACTGACACACACTGAATTCAGAACTACATGTAAAATTGTTGAGAAATACTTACTGTCATAATAGTGTCACATGATCAGAAATATACACTCTTTAAACAACAATTTAAGGAGTGAGAATCTTTGCCTCGAGAAAATACTTTGTCTAGTAACAAACCAAGATCCAAAAATAACAGATTTCTCGAGTCTGTTCCCGTCTTCGCAGATTCAAAGATCCATTTTTCAAGGACGAGCGAGTTTATAAAATGTTTCTGCAGCGACTGAGAGCAGAGTTAAGTAATGTTTGCTCGTCTTTGTGTTCTGTTCTTGGCCTGACACTGACCCCATTTAAGCGCCGTTTGTTTCACTAAACTGTTCAAGAGAGAGTGAATAAAATCGGCGTTTTATAACCGCTCGGAATCCAATGTTGTGTTTTTGGACCAGGGCACTGTGGAAAAACCTTTGCGATCATGAAGCGTTTCTTGACGGAGGCAGCGCCACAGACCGACTGGTTACTGATCGTGGACGACGACACTCTCATCAGGTAAAATTACAGTGTTTTGGTATGTGTGTTTGACCTCTGAAGCTAAGAAGGGCAGGGTCTGGTTAGTGCTGTGATGGGAGCCTATAGGAACACCAGGTGATACAGTGGGGCGGCTGTAAAGTGCTAAACCCACATTGCCTGGTATGAGTCTGGTGTATGTGTGGGTGGTTGGTGTTGGTCAGAGGGGACGATGGCACAGACTGGTTGCCACGCCTCTGTCATTGTGCCTCAAGGCAGCTCTGGCTTCTGGTAGTAGTTTATCACCGTCTAATGCACAATGGCACATTAAGCGTATTAGAGTGTCCAAAACACACTTTATAAAACCAATGCATTATTGTTATTATTTTATCTACTTTTTTATTGTGTCTAGAATGTGTGTGTGTGTGTGTGAATGGTTGGTGGTGGTGGTGGGAGGGGCTGATGGCACAGACTCCTTACCTTCTGTCGTGAAGCATTGTTAAGTGCAGTTACTAAAATATTTTACACATTCACAGCAAAAAATATGAGGTAATAATTGTATTTTAGTATCATTAGTGTAATTAGTTGTATATTGTGTTTTGTATGATTATTGTGTGACCTGCCTTGGGACTACGGATGTAAATTAGCAGTTTTGCTATAATCTGGCACATTTACAATTTGTGTACAACTTGTATATTCATTAATGTGTGTTATCCCAATCAAATAGATACAATAAATTGCATGAGTTGAGTGTTTTTTAATCTTAATTTGACTAAACAAGATTCTCCAATGGGACAAAGCCATTTAGTCTTATTTTAAGAACTTTTGCTTTATTTTCTCATTCCAAGGAAGACATTTCTTGTATCAATTCAAAACAAGATCATTTTGCTTTGTCCCATTGGAAATCTTGTTTTAAAGCTGTCACACTGTGCTGAAATTAAAGCTGCACTAACTCACTGAAATTTTCGAATGTGAGCGCTGGCCTCGCTCTTTCTGCTCGCCCTCCCCGCACGGAGCTATCGCCCCCCACTGCCCCCCCTCCCCCCCTCAGCCTGTGCTTATGTGTTTACGGAGCTCACGTCTCAGGATTGCACATTTGAACGTGGATGGCGTGACCATAGAATGATAGAATGATCGCCTCCGCCGCTTGTTTACCTCAGCTGTCTGTGCTAACAAGAGACCTGTAGCTTTTCTCAAGAAAGTGGGGGCCAGTGGTCCGCTGTGATTGGTCATAATCTTGTCCCGAAACAAATTATCTTCCTTGTTGCACAAAAACTCGATCTAAAATTAAATGACACGCCAGCACAAATCTGCGCTACTTTTTCTACAAGGACTTATATCCCAATGCACTGCATGGATATGGATTGAATTTTTGTAATGAATACAAAAATAAAGCGAGGTAATGCAGCTTTAAGATATATTTTGCCAAATTTGAGCAATTTTTTACATATTTTCCTCTTCACTTTCTGCAGTGTTCCTTTGAATTTTCCTGTTGGTTAGTTTGTCTTGTTACACTCTATCTCCTGATGGTTGTGTCTCTGATGGTCTAGTTTACCAAGACTGCGGCGGCTGCTGAGCTGCTACGACCACAAAGAGCCCGTGAGCCTCGGGGAGAGGTACGGTTACGGTCTGGTCCAGAGTGGATACAGCTACCCCACCGGAGGAGCCGGGTGAGCCGGGTTCACACACAATGCATTACACAGATATCAAAATATTACCTGTTTTTTAGTATTTCATTCAGACGTGCTCATGTCTGCTGCATTTGGTTCTATTCATTTTTGATTCCTCTGTTGTTTCTGTCAACATGAACAATGACATTCAAGGCAAGTTTAATTGTATAGAACAGTTCATACACAAGGCAACTCAAAGGGCTTAACAAAACAAGAAAAGAAACTTGCTAATGAAGTTTTCAGCATTTTACTTTGGACTAGAGCAGAGAAATCCGTCCGAACCAAGTGGCTACTCCACCTCTGCTGCCTCTGCCTCGCTCACATTCCACATCAGTCATATAGTTGTGTAGAGAAAGGACAAAGAACAAGACATGTCACAGTCAGGGCACGGTGGGTTGGTTCATGCAGGAAGAGAAGGTAGCCTTGTCTGTCTGGGCAGTTTAAAAATGGCCATTGGAAAATGTGAAAAAAACGCATTTCCGCAGGTGTTAGCTGCACGATCCCCATTCATTTGACGAGTTCCTTCAAAAGTCCACAGCGACTAAACTAGACTGGTCCAAAAACTCCCCTCAGCATTGACACACATGAGATTCGACTTTTGGACCATCCTGTAAAGAGGTTTTCGAGAGGTACGAAGATGCCATACATTAGCATTGAATAATTCTTATTCCGCGTCCACCCCCACTGGCCCGGGGTGGTATTGCAAGCATGTCAGCGCACGTCATTTTGGACATTTTTAACCTGGGACCCGCCCCCACTGGCCATAACATATGATTCAATGAACCAAAAAAGAGTCTTGGTTCTGGCCAGTCCCAGGCTCAGGTCAGATCTTGGCCAGTCCTATGCCCATGTCATGTGAAAGTGACCTCAGCACAGGAGGCCTTTGTTCTGATTTTACCAGTGGATTTGGTGCAATGATGTTCAAACATTTACTTAGTCGTAACATAACAAACAGATGTTGTTGTGGTAGGATGGTGTTGAGTCGTGTGGCGGTGGCTCAGATCGTCTCCAGCGGCTGCAGCTGTTACACTCTGGACGCTCCCGACGACATGGAGCTGGGAATGTGCCTCAAAACTCTGGACATCCCCGTCACACACAACCCACTGTTCCACCAGGTAAAGACCGGACACGATAGACCAGGATCAAACTAGACCTGGCACAATAGAACTATATACAAACATAGGCTAATGATATACTGCCTCTGGGAATATTTCAATACATAAGATTAGTGACGAGAGAATTTGTTCTGTTAGTAATGCAATAATTGAGAGAGAGAGACCAGAGGGAGAGAGAGCAGAGAGAGACCAAAGAGACTAGAGAGAGAGAGAGAGAGACCAGAGAGACTAGAGAGAGAGAGACCAGAGGGAAAGAGACCAGAGAGAAAGAGACCAGAGGGAAAGAGACCAGAGAGAGAGACCAGAGGGAGAGGCCAGAGAGAGAGAGAGAGAGACCTGAGTGAAAGACTGCTTTAGGGAATGAGTGATTATAAACAAATCACTTGGGTTTGGATTTTGTAAGATCTTTTCAACACAAATGTTCTGTTTATTTCAAAATAATATTTCAAGGACAGGAAAACAAACCACACCACATTTCACAAATATAGAGACATTTCAAATCCAAACAAGTGAAAGTTTAGACCACGAAGAGGAAGATGAACAAATTATCTTTACAATTTTGGATGAGGGAGAAAACAAAAGTTAGCTGCAGGAAGCTAGGTCTACAAAACGTTTTCCAATGTGGTGAAATAATTAAATCATTACCCTGCATTGTTCAGACAAACACAGAGACAGTATTCTCTTGTTTATCTTCATCACAGGCCTTTGTGCTCGGAAACACTGCTGCCTGTGCGTGACCTCAGTGACGCTAATCCACTGTAAGCATGCTACTTGTTACCAAAAAGACAAAACATCACACATTTACAAGGCTCTGGGGGCGTGAGTAGAGGGGAGTTTAAAATGATGCAGTTACCGGAGAGAGACTAGAGAGAGAGGAGAGAGACCAGAGAGTGAGACCAGAGAGTGAGACCAGAGAGTGAGACCAGAGAGTGAGACCAGAGAGTGAGACCAGAGAGTGAGACCAGAGAGTCCGAGACCAGAGAGTCCGAGACCAGAGAGTCCGAGACCAGAGAGTCCGAGACCAGAGAGTCCGAGACCAGAGAGTCCGAGACCAGAGAGTCCGAGACCAGAGAGTCCGAGACCAGAGAGTCCGAGACCAGAGAGTCCGAGACCAGAGAATCCGAGACCAGAGAGTCCGAGACCAGAGAGTCCGAGACCAGAGAGTCCGAGACCAGAGAGTCCGAGACCAGAGAGTCCGAGACCAGAGAGTCCGAGACCCGAGAGTGAGACCCGAGAGTGAGACCAGAGAGTCCGAGACCCGAGACCAGAGAGAGAGAGACCAAGGAGAGACAGGCCAAAGAGAGACAGACCAAAGATCAAAGAGACCATATTTTTATGTGTGGAAGTGTTCGTAGCTTTGAGGCGAGTGTCTGTGAGCCGCGAGAGAGGAGCATCTGTTATGATCTGCAGATTCCACTGAAGAGCACGGAGACTCGGTTTTTGTCTCCCGTGTGTGTGTCTGTCAGTGTAATTATGTGTGTGTGTGCGTGTCATTGGAGAACATTCTGTTGTTGTGGAATATGTCCAAAGAAAACATAAGGATAAACATTTAAGCTGGAGACAGAACACTGCTAATAATGTACAATAGGTCTTGTACCTTCTGTATGACGTACTCACTTCTGAAAGTCCAGTGAAAAATCCCAATGATCCAAATTATTTATTAACCCTTCAGAGTCTACTGGGTCCAAACCGGTACCATAAAGGGCAGCTGTGGCGGCAGGTTTTCTATCAGACACAGGAAGAGCAGAGCGGACTCCACCCATTTCCTCAAATATTCAGGTCAAGACTGAAATCACTTGAGGATTATTTGCTGTCAGTCCTGATACTGTTTGGTTTTGGGTCAGAAATGTGATGTATATGGTCCAGAGAGAGACCAGAGAGAGAGAGGGACCAGAGAGAGGAACTAGAGAGAAAGTGACCAGAGAGAGACCAGAGAGAGACCAGAGAGAGACCAGAGAGAGACCAGAGAGAGACCAGAGAGAGACCAGAGAGAGACCAGAGAGAGACCAGAGAGAGACCAGAGAGAGACCAGAGAGAGACCAGAGAGGGACCAGAGAGGGACCAGAGAGGGACCAGAGAGGGACCAGAGAGGGACCAGAGAGGGACCAGAGAGGGACCAGAGAGGGACCAGAGAGGGACCAGAGAGGGACCAGAGAGGGACCAGAGAGGGACCAGAGAGGGACCAGAGAGAGACCAGAGAGGGACCAGAGAGGGACCAGAGAGGGACCAGAGAGAGACCAGAGAGAGACCAGAGAGGGACCAGAGAGGGACCAGAGAGAGACCAGAGAGAGACCAGAGAGAGACCAGAGAGAGACCAGAGAGAGACCAGAGAGAGACCAGAGAGAGACCAGAGAGAGACCAGAGAGAGACCAGAGAGAGACCAGAGAGAGACCAGAGAGAGACCAGAGAGAGACCAGAGAAGGGCAACAAAACAAACCGCCACAAAACTTTTTACAAACAAATCTAAAATTCTTAAGTAAAGTCAGTATGAGTTTTGTGTCACATTTCTCTAAACCAATCCTAGTTTTGTTAATGAAGAAAGTTATTACAATTCAAACTTAACAATGCATTTCATAGACAGTTGTTTGATCTTTCTGTGACTAAAATGTAACATACGCCTCTCCTCTTGGACTGTGGTGATGTCACATTGCCCCAGTGCAGCCTCTGTGTTCTGTCACCACTTTGCTGTAACTAGCATCCTAATCTCACAGCAATTTCATACACAGAAAGTGATTTCCTTTTGCCTCAGATTTTCCAAAATGAGACCAAATTACCATTTTACTTTTTCATTTGAGCAGAAATGTAATCGGATGGTGTTGTGCAAAACAGAAACGGCAAAGAAGTTTAATAACATGAGTCACTTTTCTTATCCCGGTTTTTAGGTTTATTACGGTAATTTCTTCCAACCATATCTCCCCGCATCTATTGCTGGGTTGCAGCTGACGTCACGCAGCAGCGCAACAGTCCTCCGAGGGACAGGAAGTGAATCTCTCCATTAAGAACAATGTTAAAATGCACTCATTCCGAGTCAAAATGCTCTTTTTCTGTGGCGTGTACAGTTGTGGCAACTGCTCATATCAAGTGGGGAACTTATGGAGTCTCTATTTCACTAAAATGTATTTCACTAACGGGTGTTGATTTTTAGGAAAATGCCTAATAAGGGACTGTTGAAATGCATTAGCATTAGCATTAGCCTGCGTAGCATCTGCGGCCACAGACACAGCTGACAGTCCAGTCTTTACTTTGCTGACTTTCATAGATACAATGCAGTATTTTTGTGTAGTGTACGATTGTAGTAACCGAGGGAAAGAAGTGTTAAATACATGTTTTAATGCCAAAGGTTGTCTCAAACCAACATGTACATGTGTAACAAAGCCATAAGCAGGCTTTACAATAGTTATGCTATCCCCTGGAGCATAACAAATCACCAAAATGACAATAAAGGGTCATTTTTCTCGCCTCAAATGTTGTTAAAAGTAACATTTGTGCCCTATTTATTGCATTATTGATCAGAACTATCATCTCAGACGTGCTTCTGTTGATCCCAGAGTGACGAGCTCCACTGTCGTCACTATAACAGCCTTGATCCTCCTCATTGTTGAAAAAACTGGACTCATTCAAACCCTACATGGCGTACGCTGCATTGAAAATAGTTTTCACTCAAAATAAGAGTGGGCCTCATTCACGAATAACTTTGTAAGAAACTTCTCAAATTTCTTCTCAAGTTGTCCTTAAGTAGATTTCTAAGAAGTCCCTACGTGGGATTCATCAACGCACTCGTAAGCCGCTGAATTGTTCGCAGCTGTTCTCTCAGATTGATGAATCCCATTTCCTCGTAAGTAGAGCGCGCGTGCCCGGTGCTTCATTAGCATAGGTACTTAGCATAGGTAACCGCCTATTAATGCCCATATAAGGAACTGCAGGGCCGTGTGCAGACGGCTGAGGAAACAGCAACAGGCCTAAAGCAAAGAGTTACACGGAGCAAAAGAGTCACCCTTTTTTCTTCTTTTGCCAGACTGAGAATAAAGTTATAAAATGTTGACTTAAAAGTCGAAATATTATGAGAATAAAGTCGAACTAGCAAAATTATGAGATTAATCTAAGAATATGATGAGATTAATCTCAAAATGTTATGATCTTAATTTAAAAATAAATTATGTATTATTTTAAAGATGAATCTCAAAATGTTTTGAGATTAATCTCAAAATATTTTGGACCCTGGGAGGAGATCCAGCGCGGACCAGCGCTGAGACCAATGCAGACCCGAGGAGAGACTGGAGTGACCAGCACACAGAAACCAGCGCGGACAGGAGAGACCGCATAGACTGAGAGACCTGACAGGAGAGACCGGTGCGCAGAGACCAGCGCGGACCGAAGAGAGACCGCATAGACCAGACTTGAGAGACCAGCGCGGACCCGTATGGATCCAGGAGCATGCAGCACGGACCCGTATGGAGAGAGACCAGTGCAGACCCGTCTAGAGCCATGGGAGAGACCAGTGCAGACCCGTATAGATCCATGGGAGAGACCAGTGCAGACCCGTATAGATCCATGGGAGAGACCAGTGCAGACCCGTATAGATCCATGGGAGAGACCAGTGCAGACCCGTATATGGAAGAGACCAGTGCAGACCCGTATAGATCCATAGGAGAGACCAGCGCAGAGACTCAGCGCGGACCCAGTAACCTCCTGCAGCAGCAGTATATATGCCGTTGTTCTGTGGCCCGTGGATAAAGAAATGCCCCCTATAAATAGGAAGGGGTCACTAATACACGGCAAGATTTCCAATGTATTTCATAAAGCGTTGGCACATTTCATTTCAAAATGAATTAAAAAGTAGGCCAGATCTGCAGTGAAAAAGGCGGTATATAAATAAAGATTACTAATAAAGATTACTACAAATAAATAAATACATACATCGATATGATGGAAATATCACTGGAATGTTGTATTTTTATTAAACTTCACCAAAGAGGACAACCCCGGCGTGTGAACATGTCGGCACTGAATGCGTACGAGTGCTCCTGAGGACTCGTAGGATTTGTACTTGCCCAAGAGAAATTCTGGTTACGAGAAAAATTCGTGAATGCCACTTTCTTCGTAAAAACCTTGTAAGTAGGATTTACGTACAAATCTGTTCCTAAGAACCGTTCGTGAATGAGGCCCAGTGATATTAAGCCGCAAAAAGCTTTTGTGTGTGCGTTTTCCCGCATCGCCCATTCTATTTAATAGGAGAAAAATACTTCCTGTCCTACGGCCCCTTGCCACGCCCCCTTCTGGTCACGTGGTTGCAACCCAGCAATTACTGAACTTAGAAGGATTAGGAACCACTAACTGTGCATTGGATGGACGTTTTTGACCAGAGAGAGCAGAGAGAGACCAGAAGGAGACCAGACAACGAGACCAGAGAGTGAGAGACAGGAGAGTGAGAGACCAGAGAGAGACCAGAGAGAGAGACCAGAGAGAGAGACCAGAGAGAGAGACCAGAGAGAGAGACCAGAGGGAAAGACCAAGAGGGAGAGACCAGAGGGAGAGACCAAGAGGGAGAGACCAGAGGGAGAGAGACCAGAGGGAGAGAGACCAGAGGGAGAGACCAGAGGGAGAGAGACCAGAGGGAGCAGAGGGAGAGAGACCAGAGGGAGAGAGACCAGAGGGAGAGAGACCAGAGGGAGAGGAGACACCATAGAGAGCGACAGACAAGAGAGTTGAGACAAGCGAGAGAGAGCTTTTGTGTCTTCTATTGCAAAGAAGCAGAAAGAAGAAGAAAAACAATCTTATGTTGCCTGCCCCTTTTTTATCATGTACAAATTCAGAGAAAGAAAAATAAATAGATAAATTGTACAATAACACAGTAGGCGTGTGTTTGTGGATGTGTTTTTAGAATTGGATGGAGATTTGATCCACTGAGATTTGATCACTGAGATAATAAACAAAATAACCTTCAAACACAACCCTTTCAGTTTCTAACGTGATGCTTTTGAAATGACCCAGGACCTGAAGGAGTGCTGTAGGCCTGTAGCATGACCTGAGTTATCAATCTGAAGCAAGAGTGGACAAAAGAGAGACAGACCAGAGACAGACCAGAGACAGACCAGAGACAGACCAGAGACAGACCAGAGAGGGACCAGAGAGGGACCAGAGACGGACCAGAGAGGGACCAGAGAGGGACCAGAGAGGGACCAGAGAGGGACCAGAGAGGGACCAGAGAGGGACCAGAGAGGGACCAGAGAGGGACCAGAGAGGGACCAGAGAGAGCGAGACCAGAGAGAGCGAGACCTGAGAAAGCGAGACATTTGCACCAAATATTGAAACTCCTAAATATTGATGGTGAAGAAATATTCATGTTTTGACCTCTACTAAAAAAACGTACTTACCTCCTCTGTGTTTTTAAACTGACAAATTATAATTTTGGGATAGATTTGAGCAATAGACATATTGAAGTATTGTATGTGATTGTATCTAGCTTTATTTGGAAAAACACATCTTTAGAGTCTGTGAAATGTTTGAGACGTTGTGGTCGCCTTATTACTTGTTTATCACAAAAGCCTGAAGGTTTTAAAGCCTCCTCACTCATGGTTTCCACATGACTTTTGCTGTTCCACCCCTGAACCAGGACCTGGACCAGGACCTGAACCGGAGAGAAACCATAGAGAGACCATAGAGAGACCATAGAGAGACCATAGAGAGACCATAGAGAGACCATAGAGACCCGATAGAGACCCGATAGACTCGAGAGAGAAACTCCAAATTAGGGCTGCACAATATATGGAAACAATATTGTTGTTGCGATATTGGTTTGTGCAATATTCATATCAAAACACACATCAACATTGAACAAGAATAACAAACAAAAAAGTATATAAATATATGCATTTGAAGTGGAAATATCAGCGAGACCCGAGAGAGACATGAGACCAAAGAGATTTTTATTTGGAAATGTGTGGAGAGACTTTGTGGTCGCCTTAATACTGGTTGAATACATTTGTGTAAGCTCTCAGTCGTAGGGATTAGTCAAAGCAAAGGGAGGTTTCTCACCATCATCTGTGCTGTAACCTGCTCAGAAGTACAGATGATGGGTGAGAAACCTTCCTTTGACTGGTTGATAACGTTCTAAGGCCTCCTCACTCAGCCGGTTTCTACTTGTCCCCAGCTGTACCAATCCTACATCAAACCTTCCTCCTCGGCCTCAGCTGTTCAAGAAGAATTGTACACACATTATTTTTTTGTTGTTGCATATTTCAGGCTCGACCGGACGACTACGCGGAGGCACTTCTGTCTTCAAAGGAGGCCATATCCTTCCACAAACACTGGAATATCGACCCCATCGCTGTTTACAACCGCTGGCTACGGGACCCAGACCTGAGAGACCAGAGGGACCCGGACCAGGCGAGGGACGAGCTGTGACCAAACCTGGACCTTACATTTAAACAGAGAAAGCCATGGAAACGGTGGTAAAAAAAATATGTTGGACCAAAAGCGATTCTATATTATTACCGTACGTAAGCACACTTAAACACACAGGCGACCAATCAGTGGCTGAGATCACCGTTTTTACCAAATCCATTTTATCCCACAATTGTAAAATAATAATATAAAAATATTTTGTGCCTTTGGTTACATACTGTATCGTAGTATTAGATTTGTTAAATATTATGCATTATTTCTGTTCATTTTGGCCCTTATTATGTATGATCTTAAGGATATATGCATTGTTTTCTTCCATTCAAATGTGACATAATGGACTGTACCGGGGACTGTACATAGATGGACAATGCTAGCATGCTAGCTCAATGAGGCCCAAAAAGGAAGTGCTCATGGACAAAGTTTTGCTCCAACTTGTTCTGGCTTCTATTGACTTACACTGAAAAGTAATCTCCTCTAGCTCAGTATTCGTTTGTGTCTCACTCACCATTTTGGGCTTAAAAATCTAAAATACTGGTGTTTATATCAGACCTGCTTCAGTATTGTGATACTGAAGCAGGTCTGAAGCAGGTCTGAAGCAGGTCTGAAGCAGGTCTGAAGCAGGTCTGAACCAGGTCTGAAGCGTGGAAGTGTTGATTCATGCTGTAATGAGTTTGAAAGGGAGTGTTTGGACAGAGAGGTTGGGGCACATTTGGATGGAGCTAAAATCAATCTCGAATGTCCTTTAAAAAACACAGTGCTTTACTTTACTGTGAATCATAAATATATTTGATTACATGAAGCTCTATTTTATATTATATCAAAATATTACAGAACATTAAGTTGTTGTAAAATTTTTGCCTGACCGGAAAATTATTACATTTTGAGTTTTGCATTTGAGTTAAAAGAAAATAACAAAAACATTTCACACAAACAGTTTAACTTGGGGCCTTACCATTAATATAATAATTTTACACATAATAAATCTCAAATAAACACTCATTTCTATTGCGTTCTGTGTCTTTAAACTTTGCACTTTTGTGGGAATAACCATAAATAAACAAATAAACCATAGTGTCAGTGAGAAAACAGAGAAATCTTCCAAGTAAATAGGATAAAGTTTGTGTTTCCTCAGAGATTTCTCATATTTACTGTCGCCGCTCGGTGTTAAATGAAAAGTATTTTGTAATAAATGTTTGTTTTGAAAAGGTCGAGTTGTGTGGGTGTTGTGTGTTTCAAAGAACAGCCTAAAGCAGATGCTTCCAAAACACGATTCAAAACAGTTTCTCTTTTCTACAGGATTATCCACAAACATGAGACGTTAAAGCTGCGGGACCTGACTTTTGAACCACAATGGATTAAAGTATTTTGTATTGTATTTTGTTTTTGTTTTTAAGTGAGAAGTGAAAAAGGCCCTGGGGTCGAACCTTGGGGGACGCCACACTCAGGATGCAGCCGTTTCCACACAAGGGAACCAAACTGTAATAAGATAAGATAGACTTTACTGATCTCACACTGGAGAAATGTACATGTCACATTTGGCACAGATAGAATCACTCAAATTGTGCAGTAAGTTGTAGTAATCTTTATTTATATAGCGCCTTTCACAGACCAGAGTCACAAAGCTGTTTACAATTGTGTGCATTTGTCTCTCACTCCACACAGAGATGGAAGCGGGGCCAGTACAGGAGGCACATGCCAGAACTATTGTACATGTTTTTAGTAGTAGGGGAAACCGGAGTACCCGGAGGAAACCTACGCAGACACGGGGGATTTGAACCCAGGACCTTCTTGCTGAGAAGTGAGAGTGCTATCCCCTCAGCCACCGTGCCGCCCAAGTGTGTACAGAAGTGTGCAACATGTTAAAGGTTAAAAATATAGTCTTTGCAGGATATAATTATGTATAATAGTAATAATATAATCCATCAAGCCAATTCCTCGCTCTCACAACAGTCAAAAACTAGTTGTCATATGTATTTAGTGGTCTCTGTCGCTTGTATTGATCAGCTTTTCTAGACAGAATAAATGAAAGAAAAGGACTACGCTCAACCAATAAGCTCTCAACCCAAAGCGTCAAATAGTGACTCACAGGGCTCTTACAAGTAGCCTACATGCAAAAGATGTTTTCTGATTTGACTTTTTACAAAACTCTTTCTCTTGGGACAAACATCGGCTACTGTTCTTAGTGGCTCTGTTAAATATTAGCATTACTTGTTTGAAAATATACAAGTAATGCTAAGTTCTACATGAGAATTTACAGAAGTTAACTACCTCAGCTTTAAATGGTCTTTAAATAGAGTGTCTCAGTTTATTCTTCTGTTAGCGTAATTCACAGCCTGTTAAAGTCCGGCAATTAGGATTTTCTGACGTTTATAACTTGATGTAGATAAGGTTCTGGTGCACAGTGTCTTCCTGATGACCCTTCTCCTTCCAAACTGGATGTTTTCAAAGAGACAGATTTCACGTCAGATCTGGGGCCGTTTCTAAATGTAGATTATGTCTGATGAATGAACGCTCCTCGTCCATCTGTGAGTCCATCAGTCACGGTGTCTTTGTCCCAGAGCTAAAAATAAATGTCATTTATAATTTGAGAGTAACCAGATCAAGAATCAATTTACAGATTTATGAATGTCAGGACGGACTGTGATGCCGAGATTGTGGCTCAATGAGGCTCAGAATGAGGAGAAAGAAAACTGCAGATCTTTTTCAGAAATATATAATAATAGAATAAATGCAGAGACAGTAAGTGAGATGTTGGAAGTAGCAGCTGTGTGTTTTGTGTGCTGTGGCTGAAAAATCCATCACACTTTTCTAATCACCTGAACTCACGACGGAAGAGAGAGAGACCAGAGATATCAAAGCTGTAGGTCTGAGCTGCTGCAGCTGTCAAAAGGCGAGCATATACTGTAAAATATAGCTGCAGAAGAAACTGAGGGGCAGGAGCGGGACTGAGGGCTATGGGAAGACCAGAGAGAGAGACCAGAGAGAGAGACCAGAGAGAGGCCAGAGAGAGGCCAGAGAGAGGCCAGAGAGAGACCAGAGAGAGACCAGAGAGAGGCCAGAGAGAGACCAGAGATATCAAAAGCTATAGGTCTGAGCTGCTGCTGCTGTCAAAAGGTGAGCATATACTGTATAATATAGCTGCAGAAGAAACTGAGGGCTATGGGAAGACCAGAGAGAGGCCAGAGAGAGACTAGAGCAAGGGACCAGAGAGACCAGTGAGAGAGGACAGAGAGAGACCAGATAGAGACCAGGATTCTTGTACTTTGGCCCCTAAATGGTTAAAACTATTATTCATGTTAAAACAAAACATTTTACATGTGGTTCCCAGCTTTAGCTGTGCTTCAGCCTCAGCTCTGCTCCTGTCATCACATAATTCTCTTGATCTTACTCATTACTCTTTGGTGTAAATGTGTCGCCTGAGTCAGAGCAAAACGGCTCAGTCTGTTCCTTTTCACTCTAATGTCTTTAAACAGCCTTCCTCATTTGCCCTTTTATGGTCCATTCATGAAAAACCCTCATTTAAAAACCTGCTGAGAGCGAATTAGCATTTTAGGCACAAAAGCAGCTTTCATCATTTTCCTTTTGTCATTCAAATTCAGATGTTACAACCGTCGTGTGATATTAAACAAATGGATTAAAGAGGTGGAGTTTAAGTATCAGAGAGAGACACATGAGAGATTCTGAGAGAGACCTGGATTCTTTTCAATATTTGTTTAATAATTGACTGTAGATCCAGGACTGAGGCTGTAGATCCAGGACTGAGGTTGTAGATCCAGGACTGAGGTTGTGGATCCAGGACTGAGGTTGTAGATCCAGGACTGGGGCTGTAGATCCAGGACTGAGGCTGTAGATCCAGGACTGAGGCTGTAGATCCAGGACTGAGGTTGTAGATCCAGGACTGAGGTTGTAGATCCAGGACTGGGGCTGTAGAACGAGGACTGAGGCTTAAGATCCAGCTTCTGTCCGAGCTCCAACCAAATCATCTCTGTCTTTCCTCTTGTCCCGTCTGCTGAGAGAGAGTCTACACCGCGGCTGTCAGGTTTTATTGTGTTTTATGAAAAATGCGATAAAATCAAGTTAATTACCAGGACTGATTGGTTTCTGGTGCTCTGGTCTGTTTGGTCTGAGGACTGGACTCGCTCCAAGATGACTACTTTTCAACTGAGAGAGACCAGAGAGAGAGACCAGAGAGAGAGACCAGAGAGAGAGATCAGAGAGAGACCAGAGAGAGAGACCAGAGAGAGACCAGTGAGAGAGCCCATAAAGAAAAAACAGCACTTTTGTTGGTGGTTAAAGGGGAAGTGTGACATAAACAATTGAATCATCACAGATTTTGACCAAGTTATAGTTGTTACTCCTTGTCATATACAGTAGTAGTACAGTAAATGCAAAAACATTTTGCCAAATTTGAGCCATTTTGGTCTTATTTGTCATCAAGTTTTGCAGTGCAGTTTATTGCTTAGGTCATTACAAACATCTTTAGGCCACACATTTTCAAAAATAATAATAAAAATAATGCATTGGTTTTATACAGTGCTTTTTTGGTCAAAGACACCTCACATGTCATGAAGAAGAAGAAGGTCCTTCATTCGTGCCACAATGGGGAAATTTCAGTTTGATGCGTACACATACACACATCAAGGCAAGCAGCGAAGATCACTTCTGAGCTCCTTATAGGCAAAGTGGTTTAAGTGTCTTGCCCAAGGACACAACGGCAGTAGACATCGGTGGAGAAGGTCTCGTGGTGGGCTTGAACCCATGACCTTAGGGCTCAAAGGCCAATAATCTACCAACTGAGCCACTGTTGCCCCCATTCACTCCATACACAGTGGTGATAAACTAATACTGTAGCCACAGCTGCCCTGGGGCACACTGACAGAAGCGAGGCAACCAGTCTGTGCCATCGGCCCCTTCGACCACCACCAACCATTCACACACACACCAGACTCATTCTAGGCAATGTGGGTGAAGTGTCTTGCCTAAGGACACAACGGCAGTTTGGCACTTTACAGCCGCAGCCGCCCCACTGTGGCACCTGCTGTTCCCAGAGGTTAAGTGTAGCCTATAATCTTTTACATGTTACAGTAAGATAAAGGGGTTAATCCAGGGGTCCCCAAACTTTTTTCTCTGGGGGCCACATTATCGTTCCTGACTGTGTTGAGGGGCCGGGATCAATCATATGGGCTGTATACTCGGCCACGGCCAGTTATAGCCATAATTTCAAGCACAAAATAGTTCATCATTACAAGTGATTTACAAAAGAAGTGAGTTCTTCACGTTTTTCCAATTTGAAATACCACAGGTATTCCTTTTATTTTCTAATAACAACCATGTAAAAATAGCAGGGAAAGGTTAGAAAAATATGGTGATTGAGTTTATGAGTGATACAAGAGAAAGGGAAGGCCTGTTTAACTTCCAGTGAGATGAGAAACTATCAAGACAAGAAACTTCTGGTCATTCACACTAGGTTAGTGAAAATTACAAACTGTAGGAAGGCCTATTGATGAGTTATAATTAAGTGCACCATACAGGTCAAATAAACTGAATGCATTGAAAAAAATAAACAATAAAATTCAGAGTAAGGCTTAGCTATTAGTTATAATTAAGTGCATCATACATGTCACAAACGGAATGCATTAAAAACATTTAAATTACAGAAAGAGCAACAACAAACAGAACTTCATTGCTCTATAATAGCTCACATGTAGATCATGAAATCAAATTGACCAATAATAATATATAAAACAAAGTTTGCCATGACCATTATATCAACAAACCTAAAACAGTGATTTATAACCCTTTGAAATAGGAGATTGAGATGAGGGGCAGTGCAGAGAGAGAGAGAGAGAGAGAGATGCTGAGAGAGAGAGAGAGATGCTGAGAGAGAGAGAGAGATGCTGAGAGAGATGCTGAGAGAGAGAGAGAGATGCTGAGAGAGAGAGATGCTGAGAAAGAGAGAGAGATGCTGAGAGAGAGAGAGAGATGCTGAGAGAGATGCTGAGAGAGAGAGAGAGATGCTGAGAGAGAGAGAGAGAGAGATGCTGAGAGAGAGAGAGAGAGAGAGAGAGAGAGAGAGAGAGAGAGAGAGAGATGCTGAGAGAAGAGATTGAGAGGAGATGAGAGACAGAGCAATTTGCACTCGGAAGAGAGTAACAGAATAACAGAGTAACAGAAGTCAGCAATATGTGCAGTGAATTTGTACTTGCTGTAACCAAGGTGGGATGAAGGATGGATGGGCAGGTAAGTGATGGGCAGTGATCTTTGAGGTCAGCAGTTGCAGTCCCCTCTCCTGCTGCCTGGAAACCTGGCATAAAGGGATGAGATTGGACACATTCAGTTGAATCATAATTCTAGATATGCTGCCTGTTGTTCCTTGATGTGATTTTACAAATAGGCCACAGTGTAGCATTATTCATTAACATGGAATGAAAACAATCATATTTCATCAAAAAGCATAGTCCGTGTTTATATGCATGTTTACAGCCACATAAAATTGTAATAGTTAAAATCAGTATATTTACCTATCAGTGTGAACTGTGTGCTTGCTTCTGGCTGGCGAGAAGTCCGATGTCTGGGTGTAGCCTAGTGGTTGCCAGTCTCAAAGTTTGATGCAAATGTTCATCTGAGAGTCTGTTCCTCGTTGGATTTTTTATTTGCTTCATGCGGGAAAACGTCTGCTCACACGTGTAGGTGCTGCCAAATGCGGTGCACATCCTCAGAGCATGTTGTTTGATGTTTGGGTATGTGCACTCTGGTAGAGCAGCATAGAACTCAAGTAGGCTGTCAGGCTTGAATGCGTCTTTAAGGACATCACAATTCTGCAGCTCGGCTAGTTCAAACTGAAGAGAGGGACGTGCGTCGTCTATGTCAGCAGCAAACGGGTTCTGGAACAGACGTATGTCTTTGTTGTTGACATGAAGCTCGCGGAAGCGCACACTGAACTCTCGCTGCAGCATCTCCAGGGCATCCTTGCACTTCGCGACAGGGAAAGGAGCAGCTGGTTTCTCGGCGCAGTACATTTGGGTGGCAGGGAAATGTGTGAAGTCCAGCTTTTGGACCTGTCGCAGAAGGAGCTGCAGTTTGACCTCGAATGCTTTTATGTGGGAATACATGTCACTGATGAGATTCCCTTTGCCTTGGAGCTGTAGGTTGAGGTGGTTCAACACTTCAGTCACATCAGTTAAAAACGCGAGGTCCCATTTCCACCCCGGGTCCGTCAGCTCCTGTACCGTTTCACCTTTAGACTGGAGGAAGGTATTAATTTCGGGCAGCAGGTCGTAGAAACGGCGCAATACTTTGCCTCGACTTAGCCATCGAATTTCGGTGTAGTACAGCACATCCTGGTAGGCAGACCCCAATTCGGAGAGAAAGGCCTGGAACTGCCTGTGTTTCAGCCCATTTTTCCGGATGTAGTTGACACACTGCACGACCACCTTCATCACAGACGCCCACTTTAACACTTTGCAGCACAGCGCTTGCTGGTGGATCAAACAGTGAACTTGAATCGGTGGAGCGAGACCTCGCTCCTCGAACTCGCCGTTCAAGCGCCCTACTAGCCCCCTTGTCGATCCGACCATGCAAGGCGCACCATCTGTTGTAACACTGGCAAACTTCGTCCATTGCAGACCAAGCTCGTCCATTGTTTTGCAAACTTCGGCGAATATGTTTTCACCCGTTGTTGTCCCTTTTAAACTGTTCAGAGATGCTAGCTCCTCTGATACCTCGAAACGAGCGTTAACACCACGGATAAAAATCAAGAGCTGTGCCGTGTCCTTCACGTCATTACTCTCATCCATGGCTAAAGCAAAAAAAACAAAATCTTTCGCTTTCTCTCTGAGTTGGTCAAGGACGTTTTCCCCCCATCTCCTCAATTCGCCTAGTCATGCTTTGTGCCGAGAGACTCACCCCTCTGAAGGTATCCGTCTTCTCGGGGCACACTTCCTCAGACACAGCCAGCATCATAGCCTTCCCGAATTCACCGTCCGTGAACGGCTTGCCGTGAATAGCCAGTAGGTTAGCTGCTTTGTAGCTTGCTCGGACAGCAGCCAGGTTGGCCCGTGATTGACGGAGCAGGGCATCCTGCTGAGCTGCTAGCCCACCTTTCAGTCGCCGAACTTTGTCATCTCTCGCTGCCCCTTTCAAGCTAGCATACTCCTTGTGACGGGTTTCGTGATGGCGGCGAAGGTTGTATTCTTTAAACACGGACACGTTTTCTTTACATATAATACAAATGGCACGGTCCTTCCATGGAACAAAAAAATAATCCCTGGTCCATTGTTCATTAAAAACCCGGCACTCTCGATCAATTTTCCTCACTTTACTGCACGCCATTGCACTGCTGTTCAACTGCTGCTATTCTCTGCGCATGACTTCCTCGATCAGTGAGGTGGCAGAAATTTGGTCATAACGATAAATCATAAAAATAATACAGACACATGCAATTATATAAATATAAATGGTTAATACAAATATTTTAGTGTTATCTAAAACCAAATAAAATATATAAAATACATTTTTTTTTGTTTTTTTTTTTTTTTTTTTGCAACTAGCTGCTCAGAGGTGGAGGGCCGGTCAAAGAGGCGTGGCGGGCCGTATCCGGCCCGCGGGCCTTAGTTTGGGAACCCATGACGGTTAATCCCTCGACCATCGCCTGCTCTGAGTTTGCCGAGAGAAAGATTCCAAAACAGCCTCATTGTTCATTGTTGGAGTGAGTGGACATTTGACTGTAATAAACAAAACCTCAGAGGCAGAAGACAATGAGGAAACTGGGAAAAAAAATCCAATCTCACAGAATAGGAGCCATTTTGAGTCAGATTTAGTCACATTTAGTTTAAGAATGATCATTTTAGACTTTCCTTTATAGCCATAAAAGGAGGAAAGCACCAGGTCTGTCTTCATAACCAGGAAATTGCCCTATTGTTTGAGTGTTTTAATTGGGTAAAAATCACATTATTTCACTCATCTACTGTATATGAATTAAAAACACTGCCAAAGATTAAAGACATTGTACTTCTGTCTGCTCTGTGAGAATCTATGACACCTGTGGCTCATGTGTTTAAGTTAGTTTTATCTTTATTGTCCCATGAGGGGAGATTGGTTTTTCCAGCAAACAAATATCTGAAAGCTACAGACACGAGAAAATGACTATAGCATTGAAGATAACAGGAACGAGAGGAGAGGACGCCCCAAAGCCATAGTTTAAGTGCAAATACATGTAGCAGTCAAATGCAATATTAATCTTAAAGTAGAAATATGAAACTATTTCTTTGTCGTTTTATGTTTTAGAATTCCCGATATTTTCTTAAGTAGTAAATATCGGGTGAAATGAGTATGAAGGGTAAAAAATGCCATTGTCCTGTGACCTGTGTCTCTCTGTGCGACCTCAGGAGAAGTTAGCAATCAGCAGAGTTTTTTTCATTTCTCACTAAACTGCCTGCACGACTCCAATCGTCGATGTAGCACAGATTCAGAAAAGAAAATTGGACGAACAATATGAGTCTCCCTGAGGTTTCTCACATTTTTTTTTTTTTTTGGCTGATGCAGGAGGGTTTGAGGAGAGAAAGGAACCGGGACATTTAAATACATTTATTAACATTTAAGGACAGGGGTCATCCCGCTCTCTATGGACCAATGACTTTGATTCTCTGATCTGTATGTTGGCAAATCGACAACTTTGCAAAGTCTATACAAAAATACATTGATTTGAATACATTAAAATTATAGCATGAATTTCTCTAAAAGCTCAATTCAAAGTTGACATGAGAAAAACACTATATTTTGACCATAATCTATAAAAACGTGTTGTATTTATAGATTGGGCTCCATGACTGTTTTTTTTAAAGTGTTTTTACCATTTTACTCATTCTAACAAGTCTCTCTATCCAAAACGTCTCACTTTTAAACGACAGAGCAGTAGAAAAAGCGTCCTGTCGTCTCCTCTCGGGTCCTTCCAGTATCGACAACTCACTTCAGAAACAATTACTGGTAAATGGCTTCAAATCGATGCACAGAGAATGAAACAAAGTCAATATCCACTTAGACTCCTCCGTCTTCAGCCTCTGTACAAGCTTCCTCTGCTCTCTTCCATAAACTCTCTATTTTTGGTTAATCGGCTCCAAATGTCAAAACGATATTAATTTTGAATAATGTTAAATCACACAGATACATAAGCACCACGGGAATACGTCTGTAATATATGACATATATTTGGATTTTTTTAAAGCCTACTTTTAGTTTCCTATAGTTAGATTTATTTGAAACCTGCAGAACACAATTGACATTATTTTCACTCTATCTCAGGTTTGACAAGGGGTTGGATGAAGCAGACGTTTTGTTTTTACACTAGGAAGTATGAAACTACTAAAACTCCCAGAGCCTTCATTTTGACTGCTCCCTTTCAAATAAATGGAATTATGAAAAGTTGTATTCAAGTTTACCTCTAAGTGCGAAAACTGGTGAATATAACTTTAAATACAGAAAAAAGCTTGAAGTACAGTATAAAAACATGTTGGCTAAATGCTAACAGGTAGCGAACTAGCAGTATGTTGCTATGGTTACTAGCACTTGCCTTCATTTTGACCGCTCCCAGTTAGATCAATGGAAATATGACAAGTTAGTGAATTTACCATTGGTTTTACTCACTTTGAAATAAGTGCGAAAATTACGTGAAATACAAATAAAAGAAAACATTTGTTGGCTAATTGCTAACTGGTTGTGAGCGAGCAGTATGTTGCTACGGTTGCTAGCACTTGCTTTTCTCTACTTCTGTACTTTGTTTTAAAATTAATAGATAATTTCATAAAAAGAATGACATTGAGATAAACAACATAAAGTAACAGGAAAAGTCAGAAAGTTATGAGGATCAAAAATTAACATTTCCGAAATTAAAAGCTGTCAAATTGACCGAGGTTTCCCTGAGCCCTGACTCAGACATAACATTAAAACTGGACTTTTTTCATATTTTCACCACCTCGGTCCCAGGGGGTTGTGTACCATTCATTCACACAACGCACAAAGTAAATGTTGGGACAATAGAAGACAAACTTCTATGGAAGGAATCTTTTTTTTTCCTGAATTTTGATATGAAACAGTCAAAAGACGGAACCCTGAAACTATATAAGAGATAAAGGAACATTACAATCAATAAGAGAAATAGATACAAGAAAAGTATGTAAGCAAAATTGTGTGAGGCCAGATCGTTGTATAGAAAGTGTCCAGGATTCAGTGGCCTATAATCCTATAAAGAACGTCTGCTACTTTGACACCAAAGGATTTGATACTGAAAAAATTGAAAAATTACAAGAACATTTGGAGACTGTGGCTACATTTACCTCGTTTCCATGATAAAATACACACTCAAGTTCTCAGGGATAATCTCCAATAAAATCAGAATAAGATTTTATTTTTATTCAGGCTTAAGGGAAGACGCCTCAAGGAAAAACACAGACTGTTCTGGAAGCAGACGGACACAAACTCACGCTGTCGTTTCAAATATGCTCTGACTGAAAAGTAGAGATGTGGAGGTGGTCAGAGGAGTGTGTGTGTGTGTGTGTTTGTGCATCTGTGTGTGTGTGTGTGCACTTGTTTTCAACTCCTGGTGGGTTCCATAACCTGAGATTCCACTCACGTCATGGGGACTGGTTTTACGTGGTGGGGCCCGAACACCGGACCCCACTGGTCCAAGCTTAATAATCAATGGGTAATGCTTTTCTAACGGTCCTTATGCAGTCTCTGTAAAAATATGGAAAGGACCCCTGGAGGTTTACTTTCCTGAAAAAAGTGTGTTCTGTGTCGGAACCCTGGTGGTGGGTTGCGGGATATCAAGGAGGGGCACACTGGGGCAATTTCAGTCCAGCAGGCTGGAGCCAATCATGGAGCAGCACAACAGAGGAAATCAGGTGTCAGGCTAGAAAAAGGTGCAAGTGTGTGGTTCATTAGGCTGCAAGAAATCATGGAGGAGCACACTGAAGCGCACGCTTACAAACCACTGGTAAGTGCTGACTACAAGTCATGACTTCAAATTGTTATATAGAATGATTACAAATTATTTGTTGTTTGTGCAGCTTAGTCAAGAGTCCCTCATTGATGAAGTCGACTCAGATTCTGACGATTTAACTGTCAAGAAGAAACCTGTAAAAAAGTATGGAAAAAGAAAAATCAAAAACACTTTTCTTCAAGACTTGGAAAGTGACGAACCAAAAGAAGTAGTTTCTTCTTTTGCAGCTGCAAAAGAAGAAAAATGGGGGGCGAGTTTATAGCAAGAGACACTTCTGCCTCTACTGTTCAATGTCCTGCCACAAAATGTCCCGTCATTTGACTAGAAAACATGGAAATGAAAGTGACGTAGCCAGAGCATTGGCTCTACCTGTGAAATCTAAAGCACGTAAACTTCAGTTTGATTTGATCAGGAATAGTTGAAACCGTGAGCACAATTTTGAGGTTTTAAAGGCCGGCATTGGAACTTTAGTCCCAGCTAAACAGCCAAATTCCCCAGTTAAATCCAGTGAGTTTTTGCACTGTATAGACTGGGGCATTGCTTAAGCGAAAGTCGCTGTGGAGGCATGTGGCCAGGTGCCGGCTTTCACAGAAAGATGCCCAGGCTAAACCAGGTAGAAGTAGGGTCCAGTCCCTCTGCTCCCTAGCCCAGCCTGTGCCGGAGGGCATCAGCAAAAAGCTGTGGTCTTTAATTTCGGCAATGCATCAGGATGAGGTCACGGGTGTTGTCAAAGCAGAAAAGGGGATTCTGAGACTCGGAGAGCACCTGTACTTAAAACACGGGCATGATAAGACTAAGCATGATTACATTAGGCAGAAAATGAGAGAAGTCGGTAGGTTAATTAACGAATCAAAAACCGCAGGGAAACTGAAAACAATTAAGGATTTCTTTATTCCTTCCAACTTTAACCATGTGATTGATGCAGTCAGGTCTGTGGCTGGATATGACGAGGAAACAAATCAATACAAGACTCCATCCTTGGCCCTCAAACTCGGCCATAGCCTCAGAAAGCTAGCAGATATTCTTGAATGTGACTCAAAAATGGAGCATTGTGTTGATGAACTATTTATTAAAAACCTCCAACGAAGCCGGCTGCTTTTTGAGAAGAGGTGGGACGTCTGTGTTTCTTCTGCTGCCCTACAGACCCTCCGGCAAGCCAAGTGGAATACTCCGGACCTGCTCCATCTGACTGAGGACGTTAGAGCCATGCATGCACATATTGAGGTATGTCGACCTGAATATGTGCAAACCCTAATAAGTGAGCCAACGTCTAAGCATTGGTCTAAACTGGCAGTTTTGACTCTTTGTGAGGTCATTATTTTCAATCGAAGAAGGG